AGTGTGACTTTTTCTGATGTTGCCTGGTCTGGGCAGAGTTTGTTGTGGGATATGTGCCATGTGACCTTTGTAATATATTGTTTATATCTAAAAAAAATTTTCCTCCATTTAGGAAAAATAAAGAAAATAATGCATCTTAATTAACACACTTATATGGTTAGTTGATGAACTACATGGTTCACCAATATTAAACTGTCTATTATGGAATACAGCCGGTGATGTTACATAAGATTCTTCATTCAGAAATTAGGCGGGAATTTCTGCATCCTAAAATATTTCATATAAACACTATCAATGAAATTTTAAACACAATCAACATGTTAACCAACAGTCATGAATACTAAGTGCTTATATATAATATTCTTCCAATAATACTCACATTCACTAACATATAGGATGGGATTGACAGACTATCGCTGCCACCGGCGTCTCGCAAAACAACGGTTTCATTTGATATCTAAAATATAAAAAATATTAGTTTATTCCACTGACAAGTGTTTTATGACGAACGATATAATGTTATGAAATCGAATTTATTTTGTTCACATGTTGAAATACTGAAACAATGTACAAGCAGTGCATGTGACAGTAACGTATACTTGGCCTATTGCTTTCGTTAACTTTCTCCTTTTTCCACTATTTAACTTTATGGCTGGTTTCAACCTCTTAAATCGTCCTTTAAAGGTATCTTTAACTTTCAGGGATATGGGAATTGTTCCGCTGCTGCTGTTGACCTTTCTTTTTCCCTTACCCCTTGCAATTTTCTCTGCAAACCTACAACCACAACTTATTTGTACTATTTTTTTTCCACTCCGGTGCTTTTTCTAATAGATCATTATAACCTTCGGGATCGTGCAATGCAATGGAAGATATTACAGTCAGTATACGGCAAAGTGTCCTATGCCGTTGCCTAATCTCAAGTTGAGGATCCAGATTCACGTTGATGGAAAGAATTTCGTCCAAACTGTCATCTCTAGCATTTCTAGTCCATCTTTTTATTATATATCGGGAAGGCAAGTCATTCACAAACATGGAGTCTTTAAGGATTTTCGGACTGTGCCTTGACAAATAACGCTCTGTTTCAAATTTACAACATGGGTATGACAATTCATCTTCAAATGTCCTGCTCACATGACGTTACACCCCGTCCTCACCAACAACTTTATAAACACGGTGTCTATTGTTATCCAAGTCACTGCAACTAATAACAGCCTCACTCGCAATAGCAGCTAAAAACTCCTCCTAGAAAAGCTCAAATATTGCCTTGGTGTACACCTTCTCCGCTTAATGTAATATGTGACACTTTGTTTTTAGTTGTAGTTGCGGTTGCCTCTCAAGCAAGCCATACTCGGCTTCATACTCCTTGTACCGCTTGTCCGACAACAATCTGTTAAAGTGTGTGAAGAATTCTGGTAGAATAAGTTGTCTGGAAAAGTAATACTTCAATTGACCATTGATGCTTTCACTCAATTGCGTGCTACTCATTGCTGCAGACCAGTCGTGTTTGATAAATGCCTGGGCCCATATATGTCTCAAATCTAATAAAGTGGAAAGCCACTTATTACTAGCAACACCATACTCTGCAATCATTAAATCCCATTCCCTGATAAAATCATCCTCCTCCTCAATTTGGAACATTAATTTTGAGATGAATTTCTTTATTCCTTCAACGCGTTTAAACAGAAATAGTATATTTTTCTGCGCATTATTCATTAAGTGCCAAACACATAAATGATGCTTCGTCACCGGCATGACTTGCAAGATTAATTAACTTAATACCCGTGTTGCAATATTACAAATACAAAAAAATATGACTGAAATAATACGATTGTTTCAGCATACCAAGTGACAAGAATGGAGATGCATGAAAGTTATTCACCTACTTTAAAGCCTTCACCATTGCAGCGTCTTGATCTGTAATAATCGTCTTTAGCGCTTTTTCGCCCATTGCTTTCAAGAACGTTTCAAATAACCAGACAAACGAATCCGCTATCTCATCGGCTGCTCCAAACACAGCGGTCTCCCGGTAATGATTCACACCCAAGAAAATTGCAAATGGTCTGTTGCCATGTACCACTTTGTACGTTGTGTCGAAACTGATAACATCTCTAAAATGGCCATAATCAATGATCATTCTAGAATCTGACCAGAATATGTTCGTAATTATTTGCTCAGTATCCAATTACAAGGAATAGAAGAACGAAGGATCTTCACAAGCTCGTGTCTCAAAATAATCCATAAGCCATGCCGCCTCTCTATAAAGAAGCTCCTTTTGTCTTCGGGTGCTTAGATAATTTTTAAGATCCACTTTCAAGTACCCAACTGATTCTTTGCCACCAGATTGCCTTCCCATAAACTCATATGCATTACAAGCGGGAACTCCTGAATCCGAAGCCAACTCAAAATCAATGGCCTAGAATGAGGAAATTCGTCACTGGGACGGCATCATGTGGCTGCATTCAGCAATTATGAATTGATGGTTGTGACTTTCTACAAATTTAGAAACTACGTACTTTGCCTTTGTCTTGTCATATCTAAGAATCATCCGTGGATCGCAATTGGTTCGTATTTCAACGCAGGGAGTCTTTCTAAATACATCTTGTTTGTCAGTCCCCTTCACACCCTCCTTGTTACAAACTAACACCCTTGATGGAATTCTTCTATTAACTTTATTGCCATACTCCTTCTGGATACTAAAACCAATTCGACCACCATATGCATTGTAAAATTCATATACCTCTTCCTCACTATCAAAATCCATTTTATACCTTGGTTTCCATTTAATCACTTCCGGTTCTACAACAGGAATGTTTGGTCCGTTTGTTGGGTCTTAAATATTATTTACTTCACCTTCCATCTGAACGGCTCAAATATAAAACCTTTCCACATATACACAAAATTTTGAATTAACAAATTTTTTTTTTTTACTTCTACATCCCAAGTATGTTCCATCTCAACGGCTCAAATATAAAACATTTTCATATGTATGACCAATCAAATAAAAAACCTTTTTCACATGTATGACTAATTAAATTTGACATATATCTCATTCATTTCTTTGTATGTATCAATCAAGTATACCCTTGACAAACCAGGATAAAAATCCTCTATGCCACAACAGAACATATATGTCCAACCAACTGATGCTAATTTGACATACACTTTATGAAAATGTTGGGATGAATATTACGCAAAATTTGGGATTTACGTTAGGAAGCAGTTGGGATTTACCTTACGAAAAAGTTGGGACTCACCCTAGGTAAAGTTTGGGATGCACCTTTTTAAAAAGTTGGGATGTATATTACGAAAACGTTGGAATTTATATTACGAAAACTTTAGGATGCACCTTAGGACAATGTTGGGATACATTTTACAAATACTTTGGGATTTATATTACGAAAATATTGGGATGTACCTTAGGAAAATGTTGTGATTCACTTTACAAAAATATTGTGATGTAGATAAGGAAAAATTTGGGATGCTTATTAGGATAAAGTTGTGATGTAACTTAGGAAAACGTTGTGATGCAAGCCCAATGATTAAACATTTTATTAACATAGATTACAAACTCTTCTTACGGGCACACATATATATTATTGCGATAGAGAGGATTTTGAACCCACAAACCAACCCAAACAAAAACTAACTTTTTTCCCTTCAAACATAGTTAAATTAAATCACACTCCAATACTCACAACCATTGTAACACTTTGAAATAGTCTTTTTCGGCCACTCATGTACTCTACAAATCATCTCATTTTTATCCTCACAAACAAACATTAAAACCCCAAATAACTGCACAATAAAAAGCTATCAATTCAAATTCACCATTACTTTTATATTTCTGGATTTCTTCCAGTAATGTTCATTTCTTCTTATTAATTACATTTGTTTCTGCCATTCAGTTCTTATGGAAATAAGACGATTTCCTTCAAAATCAAATCTGAAAATTATGAATCGTACTTGCTTAGGTTTGGAAATAAGACAATCTCCTGCTTTGATTTGGAAATACACTCCTGCTTTTTTTTGGAAGGAAATCATAATCTGCAATTTTATTGGGACTGACAGAAGCGCTGCTTCTATTTGGAAACAATTTGTAGCATCCAAAATTTTGGTTGATTCACAGAACAATCGCTGCTTCCGGCTTCTATTTGGAAAGAAATTAATTTCTAAAACGGGTTTATTCATATTTTGGGAGAGAAGAAGGCTACCTCTGGTAGAGCGGGATTTGATTTCTATTTCAAATGGGTTGCTGAAATGAGGGAGGGAAAAAGAATAAGGGAAGGAACAAAAGGGTGTATAGTTGAACAGTATATACATATACCCTTTTGTTCCTTCCCTTATTTCTTTTTCCCTCCCTCATTTCACAAAAATGAGGGATATATCTTTTTACCAAACATGGTAAACATTGTTCATTGACCAAAAATGGAGCAAATGGTCCACTATGTAACTGGAGGTGATCCTAGTCCAAAGTTATCACTGAAAGAAAAAACAAAAAAGGATTTTATTTGAACGGGTTAAGATGGGTATTCACTCTTAACCTGTTATTGACACTATATATATATATATGTATATACTGTTCAACTATACACCCTTTTGTTCCTCCCCTTATTTCTTCTTCCCTCCCTCATTTCACGAAAATGAGGGATATATTTTTTTACCAAACATGATAAACATTGTTCATTGACCAAAAATGGAGCAAATGGTCCACTATGTAACTGGAGGTGATCCTGGTCCAAAGTTATCACTAAAAGAAAAAACAAAAGAGGATTTTATTTTAACGGGTTAAGATGGGTATTCACTCTTAACTTGTTATTGACACTGAAATTGTATAAATACTTACTTTTGTCCATTATTGACTACTCATTATTGACTACTCATTTAAATTTAAGTGTTCAAATAATTTAATTTTACCCTTTGGACTTGAGCTGTTTAATGAGCGTGGCTTAAATTGCCACTTGTGCCTAACTTTTTTTTTAAAAAGTAAACTTGCGCCTAATCGCTACATGTCGTCACAGGAGAGAAGTCGGATCCTGTAAGCCCCAGAGCTTGCCGCCATAATACAAAATTCATCTGATGTTCAATCCTTTCTGCATCAACCTCAGATCTCTCAGTCGGACATTGAAACTTCACTCAAACCTCTCTGCTCTCCACACTCGTTCTCTCTTACACCACAAAGAAAAGCCCATCAATTGGAACACAAAACATACGTTTGTCCTGTCAAATCCCCTGCTCTCTCTCTTGGAAAAATGCAATTCGATGACCCAACTGAAGCAAATCCAAGCCCAAATGACTGTTACTGGCTTGATCTTGGATGGGTTTGCCTCGAGTCGCTTGATCGCCTTCTGTGCCATCTCGGAATCGGGTAGTCTTGATTATTGTAAATTATTATTGAAAAATACCCAAAACATAAATGTCTTCTCATGGAATGTTTCAATTAGAGGTTTTTCCGAAAGTGGAACCCCAAAAGAAGCTATCTTGTTGTACAAGCGTATGCTGAGAAGTACCTGGTCGCGACCAGATAGTTACACTTACCCTTTGTTGTTTAAATCTTGTGCGCGCATGTCGTTGATTTGGACGGGTCACGGGGTTCTGGGTCATGTTTTGCAGTTGGGTTTTGATTCAGACATCTTCGTGCACAATGCAGTTATTCATTTGTTAGTGTCGTGTGGAGAATTGGATTCAGCACGTAAGGTGTTTGCTGAAAGTGGTGTGAGAGATTTGGTTTCTTGGAATTCATTGATAAATGGTTATGTTCGGAGCGGACAAGCACATGAAGCATTGAGGATTTACCGAGAAATGGAGGTAGATAGAATTAAGCCAGATGAGGTTACAATGATTGGGGTGGTTTCCGCATGTGCGCAATTGGAGGATTTGAATACTGGAAGAGAATTTCATCTATATATAGAAGAAAACAGATTGAATTTAACAGTTCCACTAGCTAATGCGCTTATGGACATGTATGTAAAATGTGGTAATCTTGAGGAAGCACAGACATTATTTGACAAGATGGCAAAGAAAACCATAGTCTCTTGGACAACTATGGTTACGGGCTATGCCAAATTTGGATTTCTGGATATCGCTCAGAGTCTTTTTGATGAAATGCCAGAGAAAGATGTTGTGCCTTGGAATGCCATGATTGGTTGTTATGTTCAGGCCAAGTGTAGCAAGGAGGCTTTGGCTTTGTTTCAGGACATGCAAGCTAGGAACGTAAAACCTGATGAGGTTACTATGGTCAGCTGCCTCTCTGCATGCTCACAACTTGGAGCACTTGATGTTGGAGTATGGATTCACAAGTACATTAGAAAACACAAACTTACATTAAATGTTGCCCTGGGAACTGCTCTAGTTGACATGTATGCCAAGTGTGGTAACATCAAGAAGGCAGTTCAGGTTTTTCACGAGATACCAAGAAGAAATTCTCTCACTTGGACGGCCATGATTGGTGGTTTAGCTCTTCATGGGAACGCACATGATGCTATCTCTCACTTCTCAGGGATGATTGATATTGGTTTGGTACCAGATGAAATAACCTATCTTGGGTTGTTATCTGCATGTTGTCACGGAGGTTTGGTTGAAGAGGGTCGTAAGTTCTTTGCCCAAATGAGCTCCAAATTCAACCTTTCCCCCAAGCTTAAACACTACTCTTGCATGGTGGACCTTCTTGGCAGGGCGGGTCTCTTGGAAGAGACAGAAGAGCTTATTAAGAGCATGCCAATACCAGCAGATGCTGTGGTTTGGGGATCATTGTTTTTTGCTTGTCGAATTCATGGAAATGTTGATATGGGAGAAAGGGCAGCTGCGAAGCTTCTTGAGTTGGATCCTCATGACAGTGGAATATATGTTTTGCTTGCAAATATGTATAGGGAAGCGAAAATGTGGGATGAGGCTGAGGAAGCAAGGAGGAGGATGAGGGAGAGGGGTGTAGAAAAAACTCCTGGTTGCAGCTCAATTGAAGTAAATGGCAATGTTTCTGAGTTTATTGTCAGGGATAACTCACACCCTCAATCTGAAGAGATTTATGAATGTTTGATTCAGTTAACAAGGCAGCTGGATCTTGTTGAATATGGTCTTCATTTTCTGAGAGATCATTTCTGCTTTGAGCTATGAACTAGGCATCCAAATTTCAATTAGCTGGTCAGTTGGATATCTCTCTCTCTTTTTCAATCTGGAATTGGCATGTGCTCTTTTGGATTGAAAAACATTTTTCCAATTGTAAATTTGAGTGTATTGTGGTCTACTGAAGTATATTATTTCTGTTTGAGAAAACTATTGGACCATAACCCTAGGCCGATGTAGAGTTTAGCACAAGGGCGTGATCTAGACCTAGAAGGGGGTTGAATGGGTCTCAATGCAAACTTTAAAGGAAGTTAACAAACTCTTAACACTTAAATTTATATGATTAAATTTAACTGTAAGACTACAATATGTAAGAACATTCATCATGCTAAAAATGTAAAGCATACAATAAAGTACAAAGCAACTTGACACTCCTCATGCAATAGAAGTAAGAAAATTTACATTCTCAGTTTTGAACACAAATTTGCCAACCTAAGTCCTATTAACCAGACACCTGTGAGTCTTTAATTACCATTTTATGTGCTTTGGTTAAATTCAATTGGATAAATTTCAATTGTAAAGTTTGTTATGTTCTTTTATATGTCATATATTATTTATTTGGACTGGTAACATATATGTTCTCCCTTAGGTTTACCTTGTAGTTGAATTAATTTTCCCCCTTTTTTATTATTATTATTATTTTTAGCTGAAATTATAATTGGATGGTGTAGAGTGGATTTTCAAGAAATGTTATGACAATTTAAATCATTTTTCTTGGGTCCAACGACAAATACTATCCAGACTATCAATGCATTTTATCTATTAATTAATTTATTTTCCCTTTTGGTTGTAACAGATGTAGAAGGAAGCTGATCATCTTATTTGAGTTTTAGTCTCGAGATGTTTAAAGCATCACTGGACCCTTGGAGTATACTATTTAGTATTAATCCTATGACATAGATGTCTGTAGATGCAATTGATTTGTCATTGGCTGCTGTGAAATCCTTCTCTTGTGTCTCCCCATGCCCCTTTAGAATTTAGACATGATTCCATGCCAGCTTTTTATTCCTGCAGCTGTGTTCCATGTGATTTGCTTCTCCAATTGGGCAATGTGAAACTTTTGATCCAGAACACAGTAGAAATTTTAGGCTGGTCGCTCTATTTTTCTTGCTTGAATCTATTTAGTGCTGGTTGCTCTATGAATTTCATTATGGAATTTGATATTGCTATGCCAAAGCATCAAAGATGAAGGGACCGTATCAGCAGGGAGTGGGAACACAGTTAAAGTCAATATGTCATTTGTTACGTCCACGGTATTATCAATTTGTTGATTTTTATAACTTTATCACAAAATTCCTCCCATTTTGCTTTCATCTATTCTGTGCTTAGTAGTATCTGAACTTTTTACTCAGGCTGTGAATCTTGCATTCAAAATAACTGTGGCGGGCCTCAAGAAATATTTGGATGGCCCCTGTAAATGGTAGGCTATAACCTGGCATTTCTGGGCAGTAGGCGCTGGTGGTGCTTCTTCCCTTCCCTTCATGTGTATTCACTGGACAGTGCTTAAATCTGTTTGAAGGTGAATTAAGGGATGGAATGATGGGAGAGACTGATGGCTTGGTTGGTGCCTTCAAGAAGACTCCCTGATCAGATTTTACTGTTGGGCTTTGCTTGAGATACAACATATCATGTCTTGGCATAGTTCTTTCCATGTTCTTTATTTTGAAATATATGATTCTCCATTGCTGGTGATCCTTATAACAAAGTTGCGGGTCAGTATATTACCTTGTGCGTTTGCTTTTTAAAGCATACTGATGAAAAAGTTTAATAATTACGTAGCCAATACTTCTGTGTTGAATTTTAAAATAGGATTTGACATATGTAGGTTTTACAAAGTAAAGTCAAGACTAATACTTTTTACTGACCTCAAGATCCAATGCCCCCAAGTGATTATAGGATTCAACAATTATGCTGGACTCACAACTTTTCAAGGTCATGTGGTCTCCCCAGCAAAATGATCGTGTTAGGCCTTGGATTTGTGCTGGTAAGATCTGCAATCAAAACATGTATTGTTGGGCCTGTTTAGCACTCGTTTTTGTTTTGCATTTCTGATTTCATATAAAGCAGAAGCAATGTTTTGTGTTGTTCTGTAATTTTTTCAGAATTAGAAACATGTTTGGTAACTAAAAATTTGTTGCACAATGTTTCAAAAAAAAAAAAAAAAGAAAAAGAAAAAAAAAAAAAACAGAAAAAAGAAACATGTCTGAATGTTTGTAAAAAATATGGTATTTACATTATATTGGCTTTTAAAAAAAATTCTTGCTACAGTTGTTCAGCTATAGTAGCAAAAACAAGTGAAATGGTTGCCAAACAACCCCGTAATTGGTTGAGTTGTAATGGTATGGTTTGGGTCAGTTTAGGCCGTTAGTCATGTTGATTCTCTGTTGATTTACATGAGAGTCATTGAAGATTTATATAAAATGACTGTACGAAGATAGCATGTAGCTTGCAAGGTGATATAAAATCAATGGTCTTGATCAACTTGGATCATAGGCATTAAGACAATGTAAGTTTGACTGCGTGGAACTTAGATTGGAATGGATTAATTAAATTGGTTAATGCTACCTAGATTGGATATTTTTTGTATGTGCTACAACAGGATTTTGTTAGACTAGAATATCTTTGTTGCAAAGCATAAAACATAAGTGAAGAGAGAAATTAAACAAGAAGAATAAAGAGATTACGTGGTTCAGCCACTACGGCCTACATCCACGGCACAAAGTGCCAAAAGGGCTACATCACTTATATAATACTCTCTCGGTCATATACAATACAATGGTGGAGGCTTCTTTATCTAGGAGAAGAAATTATGAGAATGGAAAGAATTAGAAAATAGGAAACAAGGTGGATTTTTCTCCACTGATTCCTCTAGTAACACCAAATCTTCAATAATAGGAAGCAACATCAATTATTGAAAGATTTTCCTCCACTGATTCCTCCATTAAATCTTCAATACTTCCCCTCAAGTTGGAGTATGAATGCCCAACTTGCCATTGAGATGACAAGTAACAACAAGTGTGAATGATGAAGAGAGAAGAGAGAAGATTAATAACAATGCTACCGAACACATCGACAATCCAAACAAGTCAACAAAAAACTGCCGGAGACACGGCATAGGCGAGGACAATGCTACCGAACACACTAGCAGCCCAAACAAGTTGATAAAATTGCCAAAGACATGACAAAGACGAAGACAATGCTACCGAATATACTGGCAGCCCAAACAAGTTAATAAAAACTGCCAGAAACACGGTAAAGGCGAAGAAGATTACTGTCGAACAAACCAGCAGCCCAAACAAGTCACAAATAGCACCGAAAAACCCTTAGCAACATTTAAGATGCTAAGGGAATACCCCAAAATAGGGGTCCGAACCGAGGAAGAGAAATTAGGCTCTAATACCATGTTGCAAAGCAGAAAACATAAGTGAAGAGAGAAATTAAACAAGAAGAATAAATAGATTACGTGGTTCAGCCACTAGGGCCTACATCCACGACACAAAGAGCCAAAAGGGCTACATCACTTTTATAATACTCTCTCAATTCATATACAATACAATGGTGGAGGCTCCTTTATATAGGAGAAGAAATTATGAGAATGGAATGAATTAGAAAATAGGAAACAAGGAGGATTTTTCTCCACTGTTTACTCTAGTAACACCAAATCTTCAATAATAAGAAACAACATCAATTACTGAAAGATTTTCTTCCACTGATTCCTCCATTAAATCTTCAATAATCTTAGATCAAGTTTGAGTTAGGTTAGAGAATTTGACCTATGTGTCTTCTACGAGTAATAAAATCTTTCACGCTTTGAACTTGTGATGATCTTTATTTTTCAGAAAGTAATTCAATAAGTTTTCTTACAACATATTATTCGATCAATTTCGAGGCCCTCAACTAAGCCTACAAGTCAGATTATTTCTCAAAGTTTTGAAGAATGTCCTACTTTAAATACAAATAACACTCTAGAAAGTGGAGCATTAATGCTCAAAATTGACTAGTGGTGCTCTTATTGGCTACATTGGAAATATGAAGTCTTTAAGTTCGAATTATTCTTGAATCATCCAAAACTCATCCAAAGTTTTCAGATTCGTTTCTAGTCATTCTAAGACCTGGAGAAGTATTTCTAGGCCTATAGGGTCTTGTTATTGAAAAAAAAAGAAAGAAAGATACATAGAAAAGATTAAAGGTTCTTAGCCTTTCTGTGACACACATACGCATTATTAAGCTGTTATTGAAGATCTTTGTGAGAATTTCTGATTTTTTTATATAGTTTGAAGTTATTGAGGGACTTAGAACTCTATGGGTGCAGTTATATTGTTCTTGGTGCATTTGTTGATCATCTTTGAAAAGTAACTAATGGGTTTGCTTAACTGGCCTATTAACAGATTTGGTGAACAACAATAGAGCTCGAGGGTACATGTCTGGCTAAAGTTTAGTTCAAAGGTAAAATCAACTAGCTGGTGTTTCTGAGGTAGGAGACCAGCATGGTAAGTTCGTACTCTTTTGGCTTCTTAGTGAGTTGTGAGAGTGCATTTCTAGCCCGCCCTTAGTTTTACTTGCAATTTTGTATCTTCTCTATGTAATCACACCACAAAACAATAACATTAAGTAAGTTAAAAGCACAAGACAGCATATTTTTATGTGGAAAACCTAAACGTAAAAAACCATGGGACCTACCAGTAACTCAAGTTTAGATTCCTACTCTAGAATCAGTTGAAGTTGATATACCTCTGATGTATGATGATCATAGCTAGTCTAGATTCTTGTGCCTCGAGAATCACCACTCCGCTTCCTATGTCTATGCAATTTCCTCTCCAGTGAGTTGCTTTTATTGAACAGTGATGTAATGCAAACGCTTCCTCAATCGAGCCAAAATTTCATTCTCTAAACCAAGGTAGAAGGATGGTTGATGCAGATCTCTTCGAACAATGCCAATGATGAATTTCTGCACTTAAGCATAAATCACACAGTAAACACTGATGGGTATCACTAATTTCCCCTATCTATGATCAACAAAAGCTTTGTGAAAATTTGCGAAATCTAATTTTGTAATCAGAAGAGAAACTTTGTGAAATTTCTTCAGAACTTCAAGTGACTAATATCTTAGTTTTCTTCCATGTTTTCTTGCTCAAAATTATGTTTTAAGACACAAATATCTATGTATAAGTTCCTTGACTGATTCCCAAACGGATTAGACTTGTTGCATTTGATTTAAGTTTGAAATCTTGCTAAAATAGCTCGTCAGGACATGATCAACTGGTTGAGTTTAAACGATTGATTTGTTTCTGTGCAGACATTTGTTTGTTTTTTTAAACTTTCTGGTTGGTTTTCAAATTCTTACAGTGGAAAAGTTCTTTTCCAAGTCTCTAAGAATGAATCAGTTGGAAATATAAAACGCATCGATTGGTTAGTTAACCGAACATGTTCAACTGATTGGTTTTGGGAATTGACTGTTCGTTTTTATACTGGGTTGAAAAATGACGTAGTTATTGGCTATCATGATAGTCTATGGAAAAGAGTGGATAGAATGATAAGAAGATTCACAAGGGTAAACAATGGAGATACTGTATATATTATTTTCTCATTGGTTGGTCACCTGAGCTATTATCTAGGAAAAGAGTAGTCAATGGATGTCAAAATGTGACAGATTTGGCGGAGCAAGACTTGTGATATGCCAATATGATTGTAGTAAAAGATATTGGGTAACTGAATCTATTTTAGATGGACAGTCTTTAAGAAATCTGAGGCAATAATGCAGGAGTGAGAAAAGTCATTCCAAGAAAAAGTAGTGATATAGTACATAAACATAGACCAAAAAGGAAAAAAGTTTTTGTTGCCCAAGTATTGACCTGCGAGGGAGGGGGGTTTAATTTGTTTTATGACATTATTTCAACTTTTTCGATAAGTGATATCCTATTGTTCGTTGGATTACATTTGGTAATTAATTAAGGAGTGCTAATGTTTGTTTCTAAATCATTTTATTAGTATGGGATTTGAATACTAAACATAGAGCAAATGAGATGAAGGATTTACAATGATTAATTGTTATATGATTAAGATTGATTCATAAAAGCAAAACACTAGATTGAAAGGTTGTTTTGAGTTGGGTGAAAGAAGAAGGTGTATTGTTGATTTTGGTTATTTAGTTTTATTTGATTGAACTTGGCATACAGTAAATTTACCTAGCAAACATACATACAGTAAACATACATGTAACAAACATTGTCTAATCTAACAACATACACCAAACATTATCTAAACTAACAACCAACAACAAACATGCATATAATAAAATTATCTAAACTAACAAGGATAAGGGATAAGAGAAGCTATGTAACATGGTTCATCACTCCGGCCTACGTCCACGCCTCAAGATACCTCTTGAGGATTCCCGAATCTACTATGGGACGCTCCTTATGGGTGGAGAGCAAAACTTTAAAACTCATAGTTGCGGGTGGAGAATACACCTTTTCTTTTTACAGGTCAAGAGTAAAGCTTTTCTCTCTTGTGGGTAGAGAGAAACTCACACTTGATGGTGGATAACACATCTATCCACTCGCACTTGCGGGTAGAGAGTATACTTTTCTTTCGCATAAAGGTCAAGAGTAAACCTTCTCTCTCTTGCTAGTTGAGAGAGAACCTTTATGCTACGTTTGGTGTGCAGGATTGGAATGGAATGAGAATGGGAATGGAATGGAATGGTCATTCTCATTCTATTGTTTGGTTGTAAATATGAAATGTGTAGGAATGGAATGATAATAACCATTCTAGTGTTTGGTTGATCCAATTTAAAATTTAGAATGGAATAAATTTCAAATTGAATTCCCTAAAATATCCCTCTTAGTAACAATAAATTAACATAACAAAATGACATTCTATAATAATTTTTTAAAAATAAATGGTGGTAGTGGCGGTGGTGGATGGTAGTGGAGGTGGAAAGCGATAGGGGTGTAGGTGGTGGTGTTGGAAGGCGGTGGTAGTGGCAATGGTGGAAGGGGACGATGGCGGCGGTGGTGGAAGGCGGCCGTGGTGGTGGTGGAAGGAGGTGGTAGTAGTGTGGTGGTGGTGGTGGTGGAAAGAGATAGTGATGTAGGTGGCAGTGGTGGAAGCTAATGGAGGTAACTGTGGTGGTGGTGGAAGGCAGTGGAGGTGGCGGCGGTGATGGTAGTGGAAGGTGGTGGTGGAAGGCTGTGGCGATGGTGGTGGTAGAAGGCGACTGCGGTGGTGGTGGTGGCGGTGGCGGCGGCGGTGGTGGTGGAAGGCAATGGTGGCGGCAGCGGTGGTGGAAGGCAGTGGTGATGGAAGGCGGTAGTGGTGGTGAAATGCGGTGGCAGTGGAGGCGGTGGTGCTGGAAGGCAGCGGCGGTGGTGGTGGAAGGTGGTGGCTATGGTGAAAGGCTGTGGCAGTGGTGGTGGCGTTGGTGAAAGGCGATGGCTGTGGAAGGTGGTGGTGGTGAAAGGCGGTGGCTGTGGAAGGTGGTGGCGGTGATGAAAGGCAATGGCGGTGGTGGTGGTGGTGGCGGTAGCGATGGCAGTCGTGGTGATGGTTGCAGCAAAGGAAGGCGGTGTTAGTGGTGAAAGGTGGTGGCGGTGGTTGTGGAAAGCGGTGAGCGATGATGAAAGTCGGTGGCGGTGGTGGTGATGGAAGGCGGTGGTACTGGCGGTGGTGGTGAAAGGCGGGGGTGGTTGTGGTGGAAGGTTGTGGTAGTTTTTGGACTTAGAACATGATGGTTTTTTGGGAAGTTGATTTTTTAAAAAAATTAACTTGGGAATGGAATACCTATTCCATACGTTTAGTTGTGGAATGGATTTTTATTCTCAAAAATGAATTTTCATTCCAATGGAATGTCCATTTCCCACTTTAAATTGCATACCAAACAACGGAATGGTTGAAATGGGCATTCTGTTCCATTCCTGCACACTAATCGCAGCATTACAACTTTTTTAATTTTTATTTATCATTATTTTTTACAAGCTTTTCCTAAAGCTTTCTTGCTAAGAGAAATTCTCTTGCCTTGGCCTTTTACTCTCAATAGATAAGAAACAAAATTTGGAATGTACAATGATATTTCTTAATAAATGGTACAATCCTATAGTTACATGACGTATTTTATTGATAAAGCTCAGCTCTAAGATAAACCACTATGAATGATATTCACTTATTTTAGCTCAACAGTGGTAGATTCTTCTATTTCTTTTTTCTTTTTCTCACCTGTAAATGTTCATTACAAGGATTATTTATAGCCCAATTTCGAAACATAGCCATTAGGCCCATTACACACAGTTGGCACACGTTGGGACTGTTGAATTGTTTGTTAGATTGAAGACAGTTGCCTGTCATTAAGAGTAGTTGACTGGTTTGGCTACACCAGTTTGCTGATCCATTCCTCATGCCCTTGGAATCTTCCCAAGTATAGACTCGGGGGGGGGGGGGGGGGGGGGGGGGGGAATAGAGTCTAAGCAAACGAAGGTCAATTTTCGATTTTAATTCACTAACTATAGCAAAGCTTAACTTCCTTGATAAATATTGAAGAAGACAAACTGAATTTTAAACTTCAAAAGACACTATTTATCAAACAAGATATGAAGCAATAAATGTAAGAGATAGAGATAGAAGTTGCAAACATATAAAACTCCTACTCCTCGGCTCAAGACCCCTCTTGAGACTTCCCAATTCACTATGGCTTCTCTTTGCGGGTGGAGAGCAAACGTTTTACAAGAAGCTCTTCTTTGCTTCTAGGTGCTAAGAGAAACACCTTCTCTTAGTCTTTCTTGGGCCACACCAGCCCTTACAAGTTTTGAACAAGATTGAAGAAGTACAATATGATCTCTCTTAGATTTGAAGTACAAGATATAGCTCACTCTAGAGTGTGTATGAATAAATTGAAGCTCAACTCTCTTTTATGATATGAGATGTGTGTATAATGAAGAACAAGGCTCAATGATTGCAAGGATATCTTTCTAATGAATGCAACAACTATTTATGAAGTCAATAAGTCATTATATAGACTTTCAGAAGTGTCTGATAAGTATTCTAGCTGTTGGACACACACTTCGAGGAAAAATGGTCGTTTGAATTTTGAATTCTCGCAGGTTCGGTAGACCGAAATAAATTGCTCTTGAGAATCGGTCGATTGATTTAGTCAAAGGATGGCCATTAGCCTTGGTTCGGTAGACCGATGAAGGAGTCCTCTTTGTTTCGGTCGACTGTAACTCCTTGGTCCGTAGATCTTAAACTCTCTGTGAGAATCGGCTCTGCTGATTCATTTATCTTTCAAAATTTGGTCGCCTGAAACTTAAGTGAGAGACTTTCAATATGCTAGGTTCGGTCGACCGATTTAACAAGGTCCCGAGGTTCGGTAAACCGAAATAGCTTAGGGGTTTTGATCCAAGGTCTCTGTTTATATCGGTCGACTGATTTAATGAGCCCTTCCAATTCGGTCGACCGAATTGGTTTATGTTTCAGGAAACTTGTTATGATGATGTTAAACTTGGTCCTTTGATCCTTAGGTATTATGAATGAGTTGATTATGCATGATTTGAGGAATGTGAGCTTCAAAGTGTTCATACAAACTTTAACAAAGATTCCTAAGCAACTCACCATCCTAGCTACCCCATTGATGACATCTAGATAACTTCTTTGAGTCTTGAGTCTTCTTTGCCATGTCTTGACAATGCTTTTTCCTTTGAGCTTTAGTATGTACTAACTTGTGTTGATGAGTGCTTTTAATCTGTGATTTGCTCAACGTAGATATTAGTACACAATGAACATCATTAATGAATTACGATCGTCAAAAACCTTAGATTCAAGGTCAACAATCTCCTCCTTTTTGATGATGACAATTCATTGATGTGTTCGACAAATGAGAATAAATATATAAAGCAAAATGTGTGCACTTCTCCCCCTATCAATGTGCATAGTTTTAAAGGCGAAGATATACATAAGAGATTTACAAATCTCCCCCTTTCTTTGTGCATTCATCTAAACATTGTTAGCAAGACATATTTAAGGCATATGTGCATATATACAAAGAAAATCAAGACAATATATTTGAAGACATGCAAAGAAAATCAAGACAATGTATTTGAAGACATGCAATTCAGAAATACCAAAAAAAAATGTATTTCCATTTCAAGAGTTTCAAGGTACATCTAGGCTAAGGAAAACAACTTCACATTTTGACTACAATTCTAACAGTTAACAACCTACACATTTTTATCAACCCATATCAACCAACAACCAACTTAGACCTACATCAACATTAACCAAAACAACTTCTAACCTACATCATCGTTCTCCCCCTTTGTCATACATCAAAAAGGTGGGGGGGTGTGTTTGAGAACATCATAAATGAGGAAGTCCCGTGATTTGGAGGTCGGCAAGATCGCGCTTCACAAGATCGACTTCATTTGCGACTTCTTCAAGTCGTTCGCACATTTCAAGAATGTGTTCTCTGTTCTCTTTGCCAAGGGCAATTTGCTCTTTAGAGAGAGCAATGCTTTCTAAGAGTAGCGCACGTAGAGATTGCTCTTCTGAGGGATGGACAGTAGGGGCTTCGTGTTGTTCTTCATCTTCTTCTTCGTCTTCTAACTCTTCTTCTTCAGCCTCTACTTCCTCTTCTCTATCTCCATTACCACCCTCTTCAGCAACTCCCCCTTGTTGCTCATCCATGACCATGTCTTGGTCTTCATTTTGAGGAACCCCAAACTTAGGGTCGTACCAAACGTTTGCTTCGGATTTTTTTAAACCCATCTGAATTAGCAAATCTCTGTCCAATCTGTAGAGATTGGTAAGCTCCTTTTTGTCCTCTCCTTCAATTCAAACTTTGTATGCTCTAAAGATGAGGGTGAGAGGCATGGCATAGAAGAGATGTGTTTTCTCCTTTTTAATGCAATCTTGCATGTGGTGAAAGATAATGAAAGAGAGATCAAATTGTTTTCCATTTAGGGTGAGAAAGGCTTCCATAAATGATACATCCAAGCGTCTGCCGGATTTCAGAAGGATGGTATGGATGATGACATGATAGATGAGACGGGCTTGGACAGTTAACTGACTTGCATAAATCTTGTCAGTGTTTTCAGTGGGGAATTGGCTCATTTGTTGGACTGCTTGGAGAGGATCAAAGTCTTCTCCAGAATACCAATTGTCGGAAGTGAAGTAGGTGATGTCACCATGTGGAATTTTGAGAATGCGGCGAATACTTGACTGGGTAAGATGAATGGAAGTCCCAACAACGAAGGAATCGTACATATTTTGCCCTAGTTGCTTCTCCAGGTGAGTGTAAAACAACCTCACAAGTTTAGGGTAGAAAGGGACTTTGAGGGCTACAAAATCACCTAAGCCTATAGCATCAAACAATGAGAAGGTATGTCGAATCAATTCATCATTTTCATAGTTATCGAAAAATTTTCCCTTTTCAACTACCTTATGGAGGAATCTTGTTTCATAGACTTCCTTGAACTCAGGTTCACGGAAGAGACGCATATTGGGAGCCGGATAGGGATCCGATTGCTCAGGGTTTGGGGGATTAGATCCTCCGGCATCTAAGTCATGGGAAACTTTAGTACTTTTTTCTAGTTCCCTATCAGTTCTAGAGGGATTCTTTCGGGAAGACATGAATTCGATTTTGAGATTGGAGATTTGGTGAAATAGATGGCAAGATGATAATGAGTGCAACAGATCTAATCTTAGTATGATGTAACAAAGATTAAGGAACTCAAAGAACTCTAAACAACTGACGTCAAAGAGATTTACTTGAGAAAGGAGATGCAAGACTTACCTTGAATACGAGGAGAAGAGAAGCGATATCAAGATTTGCAATCGTCTTTAGATGGTGTGAGAGAGAGATAGATAAGTGTTTTGTGAGAAGAGAGAGTTCGCGGGTCATTTAAATCTAATTTTAACCCTGTTCGTACCTGGGCCCCCGAAGAATCGGTCGACCGAATGTCTACATCGGTCAATCGAAATGGCTTTTTGAAGAAAAAAAATGATTTCCTTATTTCGGTCGACCGAAATAGAGGGGGCTTCAGTTTGAGTCTGCCGAAATTTAAATCGGTCGACCGAAACAATGTTTCGATCTGCCGAACTAGGAATAGAATCACATCTTTTAATTTTTCATGAGATATAGATTAGTGTTCATGAATTTCTCTTTCTATAGCCATTCCGATTTCTCGACGAAGTGTGTAAAACCTAGCTTCTTGAAGTGGCTTCATGAGAATGTCAGCCAATTGATTTTCGGTGTTGATAAACATTAATTCAATATCACCTTTAGAAACATGATCCCTTAAGAAGTGATATCTAATTTCAATATGCTTTGTTTTGGAATGCTGAATAGGGTTCTTTGATATGCAAATGGCGCTGGTATTGTCACATTTAATAGGAATTTTGTCGAAGAATAAACCAAAGTCTTCAAGTTGTTGTTTGATATACAAGATTTGTGCACAACAACTTCCAGCAGCAACATATTCAGCTTCAGCAGTGGACAGTGCTACTGAATTTTGTTTCTTGCAAGATCAAGATACAAGGGATTGACCAATAAAGTGACATGCGCCGCTTATACTTTTTCTATCAACTTTACAACCTGCAAAGTCCGCATCCGTGAATCCTACAAGTTCAAATGATGTGTGCCTAGGGAACCATAATCCTAAGTTGATGGTGCCATTTAAATACTTAAAAATACGCTTGACAGCATTTAAGTGAGATTCTTTGGGACAAGATTGATACCTAGCACATAGACATACACTAAACATAATGTCCGGTCTACTAGCCGTTAAATATAGAAGACTTCCAATCATTCCCCTATATTTCTTAATATCAACATCCTTGCCCTTCTCATCCTTATCAAGCTTTAAGGAAGGACTCATGGGAGTTTTAGCATGTTTGGCGTCATTCGAGCCAAATTTCTTTAGCAAATCTTTTGTATACTTTGATTGGGAAATAAAAATTCCATCAAGAGTTTGTTTGATTTGCAAGCCTAAGAAGAAGTTGAGTTCGCCTATCATGCTCATTTCAAACTCGTTTTGCATGGAGGTAACAAACTCTTTACTTAGAGAGTCATTTGTTAATCCAAAAATAATGTCATTAACGTAAATTTGAATGATCAACAAATTGCCATCAATGGTTTTGGTAAACAGTGTATTATCAATTTTTCCTCTACTAAAACCATTTGAAAGTAGAAACCCACTAAGTCTTTCATACCTAGCTCTAGGAGCTTGTTTCAAACCATATAAAGCTTTGGTCAATTTATAAACATGGTTTGGATTGTCATAGCTTTCAAAGCCCGGTGGTTGTTCTACAAACACTTCTTCATCTATAAAATCATTTAAGAAGGCGCTCTTTACATCCATTTGAATAATTTGAAATTTTTGTGAGATGCAAATGCAAGTAACATTCTTATAGCCTCAAGTCTAGCAACGGGAGCAAAAGTCTCTTCATAATCTATACCTTCTTCTTGGTTATACCATTTTGCAACGAGTCTAGCCTTGTTCCTAACAATAGTTCCCGACTCATCCTTTTTGTTTCTAACAACCCATTTTGTGCCAATAATTGTTTTATTTTGAGATCTAGGGACAAGATGCCAAACCTTGTTGCTTTTGAATTGAATGAGTTCTTCTTGCATTGCCAAAAGCCAAGATTCATCATTTTCAGCCTCATGTATATTTTTTGGTTCAAATTGAGAAACAAATGCCACAAAATTGCATACATTTCTCAATTGTGACCTTGTGCTAACTCCTTTGGATGGATCACCAATAACATGGTTAATGAGATGATTATGAACTATCTTCCATTTATTTGGAGTAGTTTTATTTTGAGAGGTATCATCACTCGAATTAGAACTTTGATAGATATTAATAGGAGACTCATTTATGTTGAGTTCATTGATACTCTTCTTAAGCTCTATAAGGGACCTATTTGTATTAAGTTCATTGGTACCCTTTTCAAGTTCAACTTCTTCATCATTATCCATCACACTTTTTATGGGAGAGGTTGTGGATTCATCAAACACAACATGTATGGATTCAACGACAACTAAGGTCTTCTTGTTATAAACTCTATATGCTTTACTTCTAGAGGAATATCCAAGAAAGATGCCTTCATCGGATTTAGCATCAAATTTTCCTAGATTATCCTTGTCATTGAGGATAAAGCATTTATACCCAAAAACTTTGAAATAACCAATATTAGGTTTTCTTTTGTTCCATAACTCATAAGGTGTTTTGTTGAGAATCTTTCTAATAACAACTCTATTTATAACATAGCATGAAGTGTTTACGGCTTCAGCCCATAGAGATCTAGGTGATTTGTGGTCATTTAGCATGGTTCCAGCCATTTCTTGAAGAGATCTATTTTTCCTTTCAACAACACCGTTTTGTTGGGGAGTCCTAGGTGCCGAAAGATTGTGATTGTAGCCATTTTCGTCGCAAAATCTTTCAACGTCTTGATTATCAAACTCCCTACCCTTATCACTTCTAATGGTTTTAATTTTACATTCCTTTTCGTTTTCGACTCTTTTGCAAAATTTTGAAAGAATTGAATGGGCCTCATTTTTGCGTGCAAGGAAGAATACCCAAGTAAATCTAGAGTAGTCATCTACAATTACAAAGGCATAAAGTTTACCACCAAGACTAGCAATTTTCTCCGGTCCGAAAAGATCCATGTGAATTAATTCAAGTGGTTTAGAAGTGGTTATATCCTTTTTCCTTTTGAAAGAAGACTTGATTTGCTTACCAATTTGGCAAGCACTACATGGTTTATCTTTTGAAAAATTTGTCTTGGGAAGACCTTTGACAAGATCATTTTTAGACAATCTTGAGATTAAATCCATGCTAGCATGACCTAACCTTCTATGCCACAGCCAACTATGTTCATTTAATGACATGAAACATTTAACATCTTGTTCTTGAAGTTCACCTAAGAGCAAGGTATATACATTACCACTTCTAGGAGCACAAAATATTTGAGATTCATTTCTTTTAACAATGCATTTATCTGATTTAAAAATCACATCAAATCCATTGTCACAAAGTTGACTAACACTAAATAGATTATGCTTTCTTCAACAAGTAAAACATGTTCAATTGATAGAGAGGAAGAAATCCTATGATCCCAATGCCAATTACCTTGCCCTTAGAATTGTCTCCAAATGTTACGCTTCCGCCGTTGTATGCTTCTAGAGAAGAGAATTTTGTGCGATCACCCGTCATATGTCTTGAACATCCGCTATCTAGAAACCATTTGTCCTTAGAAGATGTGGAGACCTTGAAGCCATCCTGCAAAAGAGATTTCAAGTATTTTCACTTGGTACCCAAATCTTGTTGGGTCCATAGGAGTTAGCTAAGAGCACATATGTTCCTTTAAGAACCCACTTCTTTATAATCTTAGGCTTTCTCTTTGAACAGTCTTGAATAACATGACCCATTCTTTTACAATAATTGCATCTAGAATTTCTGTTCTTGCTTTTGACAAAGTAGTTGGCCAAGGGCTCTCTCTTTTTCAATTGGCATGCTTTCTTGTCAAAAGGGTCATATCCTAATCCATGTTTATTGAAGACACTTCTTTGGGCACCTAGCATTAGTTCTAGATTTTTGGTACCTTGAGTAAATTTTGCTAGACCATCAATTTGGTCTTCAATGATTAACTTCAAGGATTCATTTTCAGAGATAAGTTCAGGTGATTCAGTTTCTTTAAGTAACATGCATTCCTTTTTCAAGCATTCATTTTCATTTAGAAGAGTTTGAAATTTATTTTCAACAATAAGTTTTTCCCTTCTTTGAGATGCACATTTTTTGACCATTTTACCTAGTTCATCATGCAATTCCTTAATACCATCAAGTTATCCATTATAAGCATCAACCAAATCATCATAAGACATTTCACATTCAGAAGAAGAGTCAAAATTAGAATTTACCTCATCCCTATTTGCCATGAGACAAAGGATGGCTTTCTCTTCATCGCTTTCGGAGCCATTTGAGTCATCATCTTCCAAAGTGGCTTGCATTGCTCTTTTCTTTTTCTTTTCCTCTTTATAGGCATGACAATCGGCTTTGAAGTGTCCCGATTTTCCACAATGAAAACAAGTAAGGGTGTCTCGTTTGCTTTGTTCATTAGATGGTTCACCCTTTTTGAACCTTCCTTTATTGAATTTCTTCTGATGAAGGAATCTTTTGAAGGATTGAGTGATAAGAGCCAGATCATCGTTTTCACTTTCGTTGTCGGCATCTTCCTTTTCTATTTGAGATGCTTTGAGAGCAATTTCCTTCTTTCGATGATGATCTCCTTCTCTATCTTTTAGGGTGATCTCCCATGTGAGAAGAGAGCCAAGGAGTTTATCTAACTCAAGTGTGTTGAGATTGTAAGCTTCCTTAATTGCCGTTGCTTTTGCATCCCATTTTTCGGGTAAGCTTCTTAGAATTTCCTTGCAAGATCAGAGTTTGTCATAGTTCTGCCAAGATGTTTCAAGCCATTTATAATATCAGTAAATCTCACAAACATTGCACTAATGGACTCGTTTTCATTCATGCGAAACAATTGATATTGATGCATAAGAATGTTAATTTTGGATTCCTTGACCTGTGAAGTTCCTTCATAAGTAACCTGGAGTTTATCCCAGATTTCTTTAGCTGTGGTACAAGTAGAGACTCTATTGTATTCACTAGGACTTATAGCACAATTTAGATTGACTTTAGCCTAAGCATTCAAGGAAATAAGTTTATAATCCTCGGTGTCCCATTCAGCTTCAGTTTTAGGGATTCTTCTTGTGTCTAACAGTTTTCATTGGAACAAAAGGTCCATTAACTATAACTAGCCAAATTTGATAGTCTATGGATTGAAGAAAATCTATCATTCTATTTTTCCAATATCCGTAGTTTGTACCATCGAACCAAGGAGGTCTAGTATTAGATTGACCTTCTTGATGAAGATGACCATTTAAGTTTGCCATGATCGTTCTCTACTACACTTAAGCTTTTTCAATAGAGTTCTAGCTCTGATACCAATTGTTGCCCAAGTATAGACTCTAGGGGGGAGGAGGGGGGGGGGGGGGGGTGTCTACGCAAACTAGGTCAATTTTCGATTTTAATTCACTAACTATAACAAAGCTTAACTTCCTTGATAAATATTGAAGAAGACAAACTGAATTTTAAACTTCAAAAGACACTATTTATCAAACAAGATATGAAGCAATAAATGTAAGAGATAGAGATAGAAGTTGCAAACATATACTCAGCAATTTTTAGCGAGGTTCGGAAACTCCTACTCCTCAGCTCAAGACCCCTCTTGAGACTTCCCAATTCACTATGGCTTCTCCTTGCAGGTGGAGAGCAAACCTTTTACAAGAAGCTCTTCCTTGCTTCTAGGTGCTAAGAGAAACACCTTCTCTTAGTCTTTCTTGGGCCACACCAGCCCTTACAAGTTTTGAACAAGATTGAAGAAGTACAATATGATCTCTCTTAGATTTGAAGTACAAGATATAGCTCACTCTAGAGTGTGTATGAATAAATTGAAGCTCAACTCTCTTTTATGATATGAGATGTGTGTATAATGAAGAACAAGGCTCAATGATTGCAAAGATATCTTTCTAATGAATGCAACAACTATTTATGAAGTCAATAAGTCATTATATAGACTTTCAGAAGTGTCTGATAAGTATTCTAGCTGTTGGACACACACTTCGAGGAAAAATGGCTGTTTGAATTTTGAATTCTCGCAGGTTCGGTAGACCGAAATAAATTGCTCTTGAGAATCGGTCGACCGATTTAGTCAAAGGATGGCCATTAGCCTTGGTTCGGTAGACCGATGAAGGAGTCCTCTTTGTTTCGATCGACCGAAACTCCTTGGTCCTTAGATCTTAAATTCTATGTGAGAATCGGCTCTGCTGATTCATTTACCTTTCTAAATTCGGTCGCCTGAAACTTAAGTGAGAGACTTTCAATATGCTAGGTTCGGTCGACCGATTTAATAAGGTCCTGAGGTTCGGTAGACCGAAATAGCTTAGGGGTTTTGATCCAAGATCTCTGTTTATATCGGTTGACTGATTTAATGAGACCTTCCAATTCGGTCGACCGAATTGGTTGATGTTTCAGGAAACTTGTTATGATGATGTTAAACTTGGTCCTTTGATCCTTAGGTATTATGAATGAGTTGATTATGCATGATTTGAGGAATGTGAGCTTCAAAGTGTTCATACAAACTTTAACAAAGATTCCTAAGCAACTCACCATCCTAGCTACCCCATTGATGACATCTAGATAACTTCTTTGAGTCTTGAGTCTTCTTTGTCATGTCTTGACAATGCTTTTTCCTTTGAGCTTTAGTATGTACTGACTTGTGTTGATGAGTGCTTTTAATCTGTGATTTGCTCAAGGTAGATATTAGTGCACAAAGAACATCATTAATGAATTACAATTATCAAAAACCTTAGATTCAAGGTCAACAAGAACCAGTCGATTGGTCCTTTAGGATTAGTTGACTGACTTCATTACTTCAAGGAAGTCAGTATTGGTCACTTCTTTGTTCAAACAAGAGATGCCATGGGAATGAATGAGTCCGTTGGTGCTAATAGAGCAGTTGACTGAATTGGCCTATTATAAAGATATTCACATTTTTTAGGTTCAACAGAGGTTCAATTTCATTCCATATTTACTTAGGACTTTAAGGATTTATGAACCATCAAACATAGAGTAAATCAATTTGATCCAAGGTCCTTGACTTCTCTAACTGTGAATATTGAGATTTTGAAAGATATTCCAATTAGAAACAGAAGAAATATAAAAAGAATAAAAGGGAGAGAATTGTGTAAAGGCTAGAATGAGATTAATAATACATAAATGCTTTGAATGAGATGAATCACTCATTCACAACTCTAGTATTTATAGAGAAAAAGAACAAATGCTCATATTACAAGAAATGAAATTAAATAAAATGACGGCATATTCTATGGCTAGACATATGCGTAAATAAAGTCGAACTCCATGATTCGTGACTATCAAATTTCTGCTAATATGGTAAGTCATTCCATAAATCATGGCTATCATATATGCTAGCGGAAACCATTTCAAAGAGTTAATCTCGAATTATGGTATCCTACTTGGATGCATTGCCTTGATTCCAAATGGCAAAACAACGTGTTCATCTAGTGAGTATAGTTTGGAATGGTTGGGTGATGTTATACTCTTTGCTTTTAGCAGCAGACTGTTCAGCTTTGGACGCCTGGTATGCCTGTGGTTTTTCCAATTTGAATTTGCACATAAAAATTATGTTTCTTTTATGGGGTAGTTTAATTCTATTTTTTATAGGTTGTAAATGAATGTCTGATAGTAAGAAACAATGAAAATAAGCATTCTATTTGGAGTTGCTGGAAATGTTTTTGGGACCCTCTTTCCTTTCGCTGGTTGTGTAATTTTTATTTTTTATTTTATCTTATTTTTTGTTTGGTTGTATGCTCTCTTTGGTTTCTAATAAAAAGTTACTTTAGGAAAAAAAAGAAAAGCAATATATATATCAAATGTTGCTATTCAGTTTGCCTGTAGTTCTAGTGCTATGATAGAGTCCAATTGCTTTTTGATGTGCGCAACTCTCATTTGGTATTAAAGCTTAGCTATGAAAGTTTGTTTAAATTTGACTTCCACTTTCCTACCTCATTTTCTATTTATTTTTAAATCTTAATGTCCACTAGTTAATTCTAAGAAGTGTAAATGTTGCCCTCAATAACCATTAACTTTGACCGTTATCATTTAATCATTCACTTTATATTTCTTTTGGTCTTACAATTTTCTACAACACAACTCTCTCAGGCAAAAATTAGTATACATCATTAGAATATCATATGGAAATATGATAATTATTTTTATTGATGTTTGGAAATTCCTAACACATTCACCATGTATAAATGATGCCTCAAATCTGATCATGGATGCATATAGACACAAAGTCAAAAGGGCCTTTGTAAAATCTAAAACTTATTTATCCCGAAAATCACAGTTTTAGAATCGAAGTTTTCTTAAATTTTTCTTAGGTGAACTAAAATACCTGAACTCCTGGCAATCTACTAAATTTTATTTATTTTTTCCCCAAATTCTATTCCCATTACACAACCCTTGTTTTCTTACCAGCACCTCAGTTTTTATGTGTTAGCGTTAACAATCAACACCTCAAAAGGCTCAAGTACGTGTGCGTTACTTATAATTTTTATGGTGGTGGTGAAATTTGAACTGAGGAACTTGTTTGCTCTGGTGCCACATTAACACCAATTCTTCTTAAAGCTTAAACTACTGGAGAGGTTGCAACTTCAATTATTTATATCCTCTTGAAGTTGGTAAAAGCCAGGCACTGTAATGGAGTTGGCCTGTCGTAGTCGAAGGCATAGACGATGCTTCTCATTCTATAAGCTATTTGCTCTTGTTGGAGTTACAATACAATTGATAACACAGTTTTAACTCAAGGAAAAAGAAGAAGAAGAAGAAGAAATGGACTTTTTGGCACATAGGTAACTTTTTTATTCAAATTTATCGGCATGTTGATTGAATAAAGATGGTACAATAAATTGAAACAAACATAATATACTAAATACTCCATTTTTTGTATCACATACGTTATATTTTTGTTTAAAACGCAAAACTCAAAGCATAATATTAATGTGATCAATCTCCTTTATTCTCCAGTCGGTTGTCTTGTTTGACTTGAAATGATCATCATAAGGTATCAGATGTATGGAGGGGACTTGTATACATACGGAGGAGGTGGTGATGGAGATGGGGGTGGTGGAGAGCTGTAGATATAAAGAGGTGGAGGTGATGGCGATGGTGGTGGGGGAGATTTGTAAACATAAGGAGGTGGAGGAGAAGGAGATGGAGGTGGTGGAGACTTATAATAGTAGGATGGAGATGGTGAAGGAGAAGGCGGCGGCGGCGGCGATTTGTATACATAAGGAGGAGCAGGTGATGGGGATGGAGGAGGAGGGGACTTGTAGACATATGGAGGAGGTGGTGATGGAGATGGGGGTGGTGGAGACTTGTAGATAGAAGGAGGTGGAGGTGAAGGAGATGGTGGTGGAGGTGAAGGAGATGGTGGTGGGGGTGATTTGTAAATATAAGGAGGTGGAGGAGAAGGAGATGGAGGTGGTGGAGACTTGTAATAGTAGGGTGGAGGTGGTGAAGGAGAAGGTGGCGGCGGCGATTTGTATACATAAGGAGGAGGAGGTGATGGGGATGGAGGAGGAGGGGACTTGTAGACATATGGAGGAGGAGGTGAAGGAGATGGTGGTGGTGGAGACTTGTAGATATAAGGAGGTGGAGGAGAAGGAGATGGTGGTGGGGGTGATTTGTAAATATAAGGCGGTGGAGGAGAAGGAGATGGAGGTGGTGGAGACTTACAATAGTATGGTGGTGGTGGTGAAGGAGAAGGTGGCGGCGGCAATTTGTATACATGAGGAGGTGATGGGGATGGAGGAGGAGGGGACTTGTAGACATATGGAGGAGGAGGTGAAGGAGGAGGTGGTGGTGAAGACTTGTAGATATAAGGAGGTGGAGGTGAAGGAGATGGTGGTGGGGGTGATTTGTAAATATAAGGAGGTGGAGGAGAAGGAGATGGAGGTGGTGGAGACTTATAATAGTAGGGTGGAGGTGGAGAAGGAGAAGGTGGTGGTTGCGATTTGTATATATGAGGAGGAGGAGGTGATGGGGATGGAGAAGGAGGGGACTTGTAGACATATGGAGGAGGAGGAGGAGGTGAAGGAGATGGTGGTGGTGGAGACTTGTAGATATAAGGAGGTGGTGGTGAAGGAGATGGTGGTGGGGGTGATTTGTAAATATAAGGAGGTGGAGGAGAAGGAGATGGAGGTGGTGGAGACTTATAATAGTAGGGTGGAGGTGGTGAAGGAGAAGGTGGTGGTGGCGATTTGTATACATGAGGAGGTGGAGGTGATGGGGATGGAGGAGGACGGGATTTGTAGACATATGGAGGAGGTGGTGATGGAGATGGGGGTGGTGGAGACTTGTAGATATAAGGAGGTGGAGGTGAAGGAGATGGTGGTGAGGGTGGCTTGTAGATATAAGGAGGTGGAGGAGAAGGAGATGGTGGTGGTGGAGACTTATAATAGTAGGGTGGAGGTGGTGAAGGAGAAGGTGGCGGCGGCGATTTGTATACATAAGGAGGAGGAGGTGATGGGGATGGAGGAGGAGGGGGCTTGTAGACATATGGAGGAGGTGGTGATGGAGATGGGGGTGGGGGGGATTTGTAAATGTAAGGAGGTGGAGGAGAAGGAGATGGAGGTGGTGGTGACATATAATAGTAGGGTGGAGGTGGTGAAGGAGAAGGTGGTGGTGACGAGTTGTAGACGTAAGGAGGAGGAGGAGGTGATGGAGATGGAGGAGGCGGCGACTTGTAGACATATTGAGGAGGTGGTGATGGGGATGGGGGTGGTGGAGACTTGTACACATAAGGAGGTGGAGGTGAAGGAGATGGTTGTGGAGGTGATTTGTAAATATAAGGAGGTGGAGGAGAAGGAGATGGAGGCGGTGGGGATTTGTTGATGTAAGAAGGAGGTGGAGGAGATGATGGTGGGCGTGATTTGTAAATATTTGGAGGAGGTGGAGGAGATGGTGAGGGAGGCGGTGGTGATTTGTAGAAGTAAGGAGGAGGAGGTGATGGTGATGGTGATGGTGATGGTGGGGGTGGGGACTTGTAGTAGTAAGGAGGTGGTGGTGAGGGAGATGGAGGTGGTGGAGATGGTGACGGAGGAGGTGGTGATTTATAGTGGTAAAGGGGTAGTGGAGATGGTGACGGAGGACGTGGTGACTTGTAGTGATAGGGATGAGGTGATGAAGATGGCGGCAACGGTGACTTGTAACCATATGGCGGTGGTGGCGTAGATGCATAAATGTAAGGTTTATGATCTGCCATTACATTTATAGCTAGGAAACATATTGCCAAGACATATAGAATGGAAGGCCGAAAAATGGCCATTTTTTGGCAACGGTAATAAACTTCCCAAAACACTCTTTATCAATATTGAAACTTCTGGCCCTTTATACATTAGTAGACTACTACTACTGAATGACTCTACAATGAAGAGGCTTACCCTTTATATGGTGATCCATTGAATCTGTAAAGCATTTGTTTAACTCTCGTTTCATTCAACAACTAGAGAACGATATCCCACTAATTTTTTTTTTTTTCTTTTTCTTTTTTCTTTATTATTGTTGATAAGCCAGGAAATGGTCAACGTAAGCAATGCTAACATAGTTGGTTGCATGATCGTCGAGTTAATATATAAGGTCCTGACCATTTGGATTGAAAAATGGCATTGACTTAATTAGGAAAAATAAATAAATAAATAATGGCATTGACACTGGCTGTTTCTAATGTTGCAACAATTTTTTGTGGAGCCTAAAATCACATGTCTTTCTAATTTTAATTGTTCTCGGATGATGTCTGCGTCATGAACCAGTTTAATAATATATATATATATATATATATATATATATATATATATATATATATATATATATATTTCCTGAATGAATAAAACATAATTTCTGAAGAAGAAATCAGAGTTGTTTAGATAAAAATGTTTAAATGCATGCTAATAAGCTAACGAGTTTTAATGATCATTTTTTAATTGCTAATTTTAAATTTATATGTATGCCAACCATTTCTCTTCATGTGCATGTAATAAAATAATCAATTTTAGAGGGGTCTTCTGCAGTTTCTAAGAATTAATTATCATTAAGCCACTGCCTTGCAACCAAAACTAGGAAATTTATATATCAACATTGGACATTATTTGTATATTCGTTTTCAGCTACTACTAATTTTGTCTCTCCCAACTCCGGTCCTTTTGTTCAATCAAGTAGGATAGCATACCAACTTGATCTTGAATTTTTCCGATTTGCAATCCTGGTTAGAAATTCCTTTAGTAGTGTTTGGGAGTATAAAATAGGTACTTTGAATTTGAGATTAGAGAAAATTTAATTTAAAATTTTAACTAAATTTATTCTAGTTTCAAATCAAAACCGCTGATTTAGTGCTCCCAAGCATAGCAATGTTAAATCCAAATAACCAACCCCATTATTAGACAACTGTGGATAATGCTTGTCTGCTAATGAACCTCTAATCCTGATTGGAAGACGCCTAACACAGTTGAAAGAGAACCATCTTGTTTGTTATGAACTCTTTATTAATGAGCGAGAGAACAATTTTAAATCCACAAAGTTTAGAGAAAATTGTAGAGCAATATGATATATTATTATAATCAAATTCTAAATTTTACATGCATATTTATAATAGAGAAAACCTAACACTATAACAAATGAATATCATAAGGAAATTTATAGCAATGCTACATCTCACAAAAAAGAAAAAAAAAAAAATCATGACATTATAACGAAGCTGCATATTTATGGCAAATATGCATTTTTAGTCCTTTTATTATCTTCTTCTTCTTCTTCTCTCTCTCTCTTTTTTTCTTTCATGTTCCCCCTAATTTCTTTCTTTAGCTATATATATAGGATTAATTTAATAAAAAAACATCTTAGGAAGTGTTAATTACTAGAATGTAAATACTAAAAATAATCCTACCAAAAACAGTTTAGGCAAAAGTAACTACAAATATGTCAATTTTCACTGTCCATGAATACATGGAGACCAAATTAACCTTAAGTGCATTTTGAAATTTACTAAGTAACCCTTGCTTCTCTTTCCATCTCATATATTTACTTTACCGGTCAATCTAATAACCATTACTAAGGTCGCTTCACGTTGGAGATAAAAAACAAATCGGTGAAGTTACGGAGACCCAACAGTGACCTTCACATCGGCAAAGATAGACCTAACAGTGAGCTTTATTAATTCCGGTGAGCTCTGACTAGCAAAGCTCCATTGATTCCGACGTTCTTCGAGCAAACTGTTGGGATTTATATGCCCTGGCATAGCAAATTCCTATTTGGATTAAAGTGACATATGTTCCTGACGTTTCTGAAATATTTATGTTTTATACAATTGGTGAATTCAATGTATTATATTTCGATTCATTATAGAATTGATAGTATCCATTTGATTACAAGAGATATTTATATATATGTATGTGATGGCAATCAATGCATAATATATAAATAGTAATTATAAATTGTTCATAGTCAGTAATTATGGATGGATTCATAATTAATTAAGACTTGAACTGGATCCGCGTTAGGTTGAGATATATTGCGAGAGCCGTCGTATGCAATTGCTCCCTATCACCGTCATGGCATTTAACTCTTAAGTATGAGAAAATTATAGACTCTTTTATTAATTAATAATTACTTTGATTTATTCGGCGGATTCTTCGGGATTCTTAGACCGACACTTTGGGTAGTTATGTAATTAATAGTTAGAGAGTTATATTTTCAATATTTGCATCATTACTACTTGTATTTATTTTGTATTGATTATGATTGATCACAAAGTAAATTCGAAGGTCTTCGTATGTTTTTAAACAAAATGATTTATTATATATTTATTTATTTAAATTATTATTTTTGTCAAACAAATGTTTTTATTGTGATCGAGCCAGAAATAATCAATGGTACGAAAATAAATATATTAATTAAGTAGTCGGATTGATGGCTTTATTTATCCGATAACTAATTATGCATAGAGGGGTCAAAGTGCAATATTGACTTAGTGGTTATTTATTATTTAATTGGAGTTCAATTAATTTCTTTTAGTGGAGTAGAAATTAATTTATGAATTAATTGAATTGGATCCATGGACCGGGCCAATTATTAATTCATTGTAGCCAATAAAATAATAGGCCCAATGGATTCTCACTCATAGCCCAACTTGATATTGGAATCATATTAGATTTGAGACATGTGAATTAGAGATTGAGAAGGATTTGTTGTTTTCTTTTCTTTATTTTTATTTTTATGTGATTTTTGGAAAGAAGGAAAAAGGAATAAATTTTCTCTCTCTAGAAAATTAGGGTTAGTGTTCTCATCTAATGGAGGCTCCCACAAGCCTAGTTTTCCAAGGTCATTCATGGAGGCTTATGAGTAATTCCTAAAGGCAAGACCATTACCAAGAAGATGGAGATCCATGGAAAAGGTGTCTAGCAAAAGGGATCTACAATAAGTGAGAACATTCACTTTAGAGGAGAGATCTAAGGTTTACTCAAACCTTGATGTAAATATTCAATCTTTTAATTGAATAATACATCATGTTTTATTTTTACATAAAACTTGTCTCTATGTGATGAATCAAGATCTATGAATTAAAATCCATCGAAAAGTTTTTAAATATTGCACATTTCCCAACAGTGGTATCAGAGCATGGTTTGATTCATTACTAGAGATCATGATTTTATGAAAATCATCATTCATGGATCCAAATTTTTATATGCATATGTATATATTTTTATATGATCATGATGTATGTATATTTGTGATTGGATGAATGTTGATGAATGTTTGGGCCATGGATGAAGCTTATAGGTTATTGGAATGTAATTTTATCTTTGGATGAATGTAATTAAGGCTTTGATTTAGTCGTTTGAAAGTTCAATGATATAATTTAATTTTTTCCATTGTATTTCAAATTGTAAATATTTTTAAAGCCATGTAATATTCATCAAAGGATGCTATGAAGCTTCAAGAGGGTCCGAAAGGGTTAAATTATGCTCCAGTAATTTTCTGGAATTTTTCTGAATTTTTCTGGAATTTTTTGAGGCTTAATTTAATTTTCTGGGAATTTTTCTAATATTTTCTGGAATTTTCGGCGTTTTTCCGGCGACCGAAAAATTGCCGGCGGCGAGGTATTGGCCGGAGATAGAAGGACTAATGATCACATGCTTCGCGGAACACAATTATATGGTGCAACTGGAATCTGAGCTTTTGGATGATTGGAAGTTATCCCATGCGGCGCAAGGAAGTGCACCTGGCGCATGTGGAACACGCGCCAGGAGATGGACATGGGCTGGCGCGTGGATCTCACGCGCCAACCAAGGGAAATTGTTCCCACCCGCGTGGGGGCGCGTGGGAGCCCGTGCCATTACCTGGTGCATGCCCCAAGCGCGTGAGAGCGCGTGTGTGGCCCTCCGGGCGCATTCTAAGTGCTGTTTTGCCTCCGTAAGCGCGTACCAGCTCCCTACAGGTGTTTACAAGCTGTTGGAGGACGCCTGTACAATACTTAGAGTAATTAAATGTTAAAAGTTGAATCCATTGGCCATTTAAATTGCTTCTGTCTGTAGTTTGATTATTTATGTGATGCATGGGATAGATAATTGTTGATTAATTATTATTCATGCATTGGATCCATGATATTTAATTAAATGACTTGATTTATATTAATTAAATTATGATAATTAAGTGGATCTGATTACTAATTAATTTGAGGGCACTTATTGGGAAACGAAAAATTATTTTTGTAAATTATTTTTAAAGTGTGCTTCAAATTAAATATTAGTGAATCATTTAAAGTCCAAATATTTTCTAATTTTAATTGGATTAAAATCAAGACGTTTTGCATGCATCATATCATGTATTTGAATAAAATGAAAACCCTAACTATGAATGATTAAAAATTGAGTGGGAGCGGGAATTTTTATACATTACCCCATGGCCTTCGTTATTAATACCATTGTAATTAGATCTTCAAAAATAAGGCCCCACGCATGATTTGAAAAGTCTTAATATTACAAGAATGGTTGTCTCATGAAAACAATAATATTAAATGTTCATTGTAATTAGATATTTAAAAATAAGGCCCCACGCATGATTTAAAGATTCTAAATTATAATGACAAGATATTTAATATTTTTATTTTTCATTAGAGTTTTAATAACGTTATACACTCAATCTAAAATCAATAGTGTTAGCTCCCCAACGGAGTGGTCTACACTAGGTAATTTTAGAAAGGCTAAACAT